AAACCAGTTCTCAACAGACCAATCCCAAGTCACTTCAGAAAAGAGTATGAAAATCAGAAAGAAACAGAACTTTGAACTTTGAAGTTAAGACTTTCTAATTCATATTCATATTCATATGAAAATTGAAAATTCAAACTGTTAAGTTATTCAGATCTGCCCAAGAACAGATCTGAGATCTGGTCAGGACCAGATCTAAGACAGGATCTCAGATGACCAATATCATCTCTCTCTCTCTCTCTCTCTAGCTTGATGTTCTGTGGCGCTTTGCAGCCAGCGCTTCATTTTCGGAATCGGACTCAGCAGAGGGAGCCGTTGGAGGCGTCTGGCAGCGTCCGGTGGGCCCTGAAATGGCCAAAAAATACCAGGGGCATTTTTTGGGGGCGGCCTAGGACCCGAAAAACGTCCTAGGACCCCCCAAAAAAAAATTCAATTTTTTTCAAAATTGGGCCCAATCCAGACCTACCGGACCAGACACCGGACCCAGACCCAGACAACCGGACCGTCTGGATTCCGGTCCAGACGTCCGGCCGGTTGCCATGGTTTTAAGTTTTAACTTGAGTTTGGTTAGGAATTCCGGCACGACTCTGAGGCAAAAGTGGGCTGTATCATTATTCTGCATACCATAACTTCTTTTTCTGTTTTTTTTTTTTTTTTTTTTTTTTTTTTTTTAATGGCCTGGACATTTCCGGACCTGCTTACCGGTCCGGACCATCCAGAACCACACATGTCCGGAGGTCCGGCGGAGTTCTGGACCCGACCGAACATCATCCTGTCCCCGGACATGAGCTGTCCGGGTCCGGGTCTGGGTCCGGTGTAGCCATGATGCATTCAAAAAGTGGAGGATATTGCATGTTCCATTGTCAGGTAATGGCTCTGGCTCCACTTATCAGCGAAGTCTCGGTGTTTCTTATTCTTATCTACTAAGATGGTTTGCAACTTTGCACTCAGTGTTCTGTTCTTTATAAAGGGGGTATCCCCTAACTTTCTTGTATCCATCTGATAATTTTCAGGATTTGAACTCATGACCTGTTTACGAACCCGCTGTCTGTGTGTACCTTTCAGCCCCACGGACTGGGTACATCCCTTAGTTTTTTTGTTTTTTTTTTTTGCAACTAAGCTATATTCTTCACTCGGATGCCTCACACATCCTATCCTGATATGTAAGTCCCAAATGGTTGCAGTTATGGGTTACTTCTCCCTAATGAATCCCAGCCTTCAGATGGTGGCGGGGGGCAGTACCCCGGCTCCTAACACCTGGCACGAGATGGAAAGCAGCGGAGACAATTGGCTTGGGCCTCCTGGGTGGTTGTGGAAGCGAAGAGGATACATCCCTTACCATTCTTATCCAACAGCATGGGATTTTTTATAAACAAATTTAAAATTTTGTTAGGATTGGAGTGTGATTGTCCTTCGGGACATCCGTTAAAATTGGAACGATACAGAGAAGATTAGCATGGCCCCTGCGCAAGGATGACACACATAAATCGAGAAATGGTCCCAATTTTATGTAAAAAAAATAAAAAAAATAATAAAAAAAAGGATTGGAGTGTGAAGTTCGAACTCGTGACCTGATTAGCTGTAAAAGTTCTATGCATCCATCAACCATGACAATCGCAACATTTTTTTCACTTTTTTTTTTTTTTTCAGTGTCGACATTTCTTACTTCTCTTTGCAGAGCAATGCAGACAACAAAAACAATGACGAGAACTTACGACAATGGTTGCCACAAACTCACACTTAGATTGCTGAATGGTGACGGCCTCGCTCTGCTGCAGATCATTATCTTCAAGCCAGCCACTTCCACCTCTGCTCTGTCGACTTGACCCGTCTATCGAGTTTGCTTCGAACCCGTTGCCAAGAGAATGTCTCTCCCCAGAACAAGGAGCTAGATCTGATGCGGATGCTATTGGCAGCAACAGATCCCCACTGGCTGTGGAGGCAGAAGATGCTCCTATTTGCTTGTTCTTACCGTTGGACTCCTTTACTCGAAGAGGGGCAGGGTTCCCATGATGCTCTCCATCGAGGCTGAGGCTGTCATCATCCTCTGCGCGGTCAAGATTAGGGAGCAGATTCGCCCTCAGACGAGCATACAGCTGTTTTTTGTCGTCAAGATGTCCAGGAACCATGCTCTCGTGCAGCTCTCCGAGATCTGTCTCGTCATCGCTCAGTTCAAAGAGCACACTCTGGTCCTCGTCCCGTCCCATTGCCACAGTGGGGACCTCCCTCTCCACTCTCTGTTCGTCCGGTCCGCAACTCGTTTGTGAGAGGGACTCGCGGTGGTTACCTATCGACCCCGTTTGATGGTGACCATTTACGGACTCCGGAATCGTGAACTTAGGCCTTTCATTACACATACCTCTCTTCCCTTTTTCGTACACCTCCAGGTCCTCCACTTCTACTGCCTGTGGTGTATCGATCTCCATCTCTGTACGATTGTCGTCGTTGCTGTCATCAGCACAAGCTCCAGCACAAGCATCGTACGTATCCGGTGCTTCGTTCGAAGCATTCACCTCTTTCATGTCGATGCTTGCACCACATCCATTGTTCTCGTGTTCTGACCTGCAAAGAGTCTTCTTTCCGTCATACTCCAAGCCAGGGGGTCCTTTTTCGTTCTCTGCGCCACCCACATTTTGCCGCTTTGAAGCTCTCCGAGCTGCCCTCTCGGCCTTCCGCCTCTCAATTCTCCTGTCAATCAATTTGTACTCTTCCTCCTCCTCCTCCTCCTCCTCCTCTTCCTCCTCTTCTTCCTCGTCGTCCTCATCAACAATCCCTTCCCAGCTACTTGACTTTGCTACATTGTTCTTTCCATTCTGCAGTTTGTTGCGCTTGCCCTTCCGCAGATCACTTCGTGATCTTTTCTTCCCAACCAGCAAGCAGCTACGCCCATTCGCAACCGCCGACACTCCCACTCCACTCTTTCTCCTAACTCTCCGGGTAATCCTGACCGGAACATCAAAATCATCGTCGCTGACTACTTTTCCTTGCAGCTGTGTTTCCCCATCCTCTCTGTATTCCTCCTGATTACTTTCAGACCTCTCCTTACCTCTTGAATTCTCCTGCACTCCTCTATCTGAATCTGGTCGCCCTTCAGCCCCCCGAGCCGTTTCCATAACAGATTCAGCTGTAAACCTAACTCCACACTCCATATCACCAGGGCAGACGCTGCCCGATACCTTTTCCATTGGCCTTTCATCAACCACTTGGTCAACTGTCATCCGGTTCCCGTCCTCCACACCAACCTTCGCATCCGACTCCTCACTCTGGCTTAGACCTTTGGTATCCCGGGGGAATTCTTCTGAGCATGAAGGCACATCGCCCTCCTGGAGCCTCACCTCTTCCAACCCTTGTCTTACATCGCCCTCCTGGAGCCTCACCTCTTTCAACCCTTGTCTTGCATCGCCCTCCTGGAGCCTCACCTCTTTCAACCCTTGTCTTACACCTTCAATGGGCGTGAAAAACGTCTTGATCGTTGGTGTGGTGCTCTTCCCCTTGTTGGACGCACCATCGGCAGCTTCCTGCCCTTTAGCATCCTTTCGTCTCAGACCAGAACCTCTTTGTCCGGGTGATTTCGCTGGTGGTTTCGCAGCCTCCCGTCCTCCTTGCTTTTTTTCTGCAGACCCATCCACAGGATGTACACCCCCGGCTCCAGTCTTTTCCGAAGTACCCACATCCTTTCCACTGCCAGGCAGTGCTCCTTTCTCCCTAGAGCCACCTTTGTGAGTTAAATGTGCATACACACATAAGCCAAAGTAAGATAAGCGATTGATTACAAAAAATGAGCAAAGCAGGACAGAAAACTTATGCTCCTCACGGTTTCAGTAAGCGAGAGGACCTCAGGACATTACACACACACACACACACACACACACACACACACACACACACACACGCCGGTGAAAAGAAGAGGTCAAAGTCAGGGCTCAGAAGCTAATAGACTGCAAGGATTTTTTTATTTTTTTTTCCCTGACCCCAAGGAATTCTTGACATTAAAAAAAAAAAAAAAAAAAAAAAAGCAAAGCAGCATTACAGTCTCTTAAGCCTACATCAGATGCTTCTCTTTTTCTTTGCATCATATCCTTAAACAAATTTGCCAATTCCACAGCTCGCTTCCAGAATGTTGCCCTCAGACTTTTTAACTTTTTCTTTGGGAAAAAAAAAGAGCGGCAATCTTGAGATACCATCGTTGAACTGATCAGCCCCTGAAATTTCAGAATTATTTTATTCTGTTCATTCAATTGCATCTGGATTCAAACTTGGGTCTACATTTCAGCATTTCATGGGTGAACCAACTGCGCTAGGCCCATTGACCATTTCTCGATTTATGCGTGTCCTCCTTGCACAGGGGGCATGCTAATCTTCATTCTCCGTTCCGTTCCAATTTTAACGGATGTCCCGAAGGTTGGAACCTTTTTTTTTTTCTTTTTTTTTTTGGGAACCTTTTTATTACTAATATCCAAGTTTTTCAACCACTATTGACCATCAAAGACTTGCTCCCGAGCCTGCCAGCAGATTCCCTGAACGACGCAATGCATGATTAATGTCAACCATTGACTATCCCATACTTGCTCCCAGGCCCACCCCCTTCTCTCCCCTCCCCCCTTCGTGCATACGAACTCAGCAAGTACGCTTATTATATTAATTAATACTTTAATACCTTCATCAAGCCAGACCACAACCGTGCTGGCACCCCCCTAACTTGGTGAGCTCGTCGCATGCAGCCAACCTCCCCCCCCCTCCTCTTCTTTTGGCTGGCCATCAGCACCAAATGAAAGAAGCAGACAAATTTGCCTGACTTACCTGCCCCTCGCTTCCGTCTCTTGCTGCATCCCTCCGGCTCGGCAATCTTCACAAAGACCCCACCACAGAGCCTTTCATGCCTGCTTCAGCCATCCAAATAAAAAATAAGGGCAAAAACTTTCTTTAAGAGTCACATCAAACTTCACCGTTCAACAAGTTCGCGCCATAAGCAAACACAAACAAATGGTCCATTTGAATCACTTCCTTTTCACGTACACTTCCCATAACTGCATTCGGGAAGAGCTATGTGAAGGTAACATGGAACTAACACCTAAACAGATAGGCCTTGCATTTCAGGGAGTGTTCCCTTGTTCCCATCCATACTTTCCCACGCAACGGAGACATGGGACCGGAGTCACTGGAGTCGCTAGAGTAAACTTGTGGTAGCAACCACACTTCTTTTTTTTCTTCCCCCCCCCTCTCTTCTGTAATCCACTCACAAGACACAGGAGCATGAGCAGATGACATACGGTCTATTCCATCTCCACATAGAAACTCAGACAAATCAGAAACTCAAAGCCAGAGTCAAATCAGAGAGTGAGCAGCCAGAAGCCAGGCGCGTGGAAGGAAAGACGCTGGAGAACTCTTGAAGGCCTCTCCACTCCAAGAGAGAGCGTTTGGGAGGCTGCAAGGTCGCTGATTCGGGCTGAGATTCTTTGCAAGTGGCAGAAAAGAGAGCATTCTATGCCGGACGATCTGGTTGTGCAGCAGGAATTGCCAGGAAATCAAAGCTAAATTTGCAAGGGTATGGCTAGTGCGAGGCAAGGTAGCGGACACAAATGGCCCCTGAATACGGTGGAAAGACTGGCACAATTCAGAAGGGGGGCTTAAAAGGCAGAGGTCTCAATCGGCAGACCGGCAGGACCCAATACGGACCACATAAAACTCGACGGCATCGCAGAGAGGATGGTACCAGCAAGCAGCAATCAACGATCTATAAGACCAAGAGTTCCAGCAGGACATCCCCAGCATCTTCAAGGGCTTTCGGCTTCCGCACCTATTAACGCTTTCTTGGTTTCACTTAAAATTTGGCAGGTTAGGGTAAACAAACCTGAGAGGAGAGGTAGAGGAAAGACAAGCTGACAGTCAATACTCCAGGCATCTGGAGCAATCAATGTCGATCCGGGGTCCTCCGGCCAAATGGAAGGAAGCGCGAGGGTGCTCTTGTTGTAATTCTGACTTGCCGGTGGAATAGGAATCGAACTGATGCTTCCCAGAATGGATATGGAGCCAGGATCATAAGGACCTGTTTCTTTCGAAGGCTCCCACGGGCCGGCTTTTCTCGGGTTACTTATCAGCTCCTCCAGGCTCTCCCACTTCGTGGCCTTCGAATATCGACGAACATACAATGGGAAAAGTCGAATTGTACGCGTTCAACGAGCAGGTCACGTCAAAAAATAAAATAAAATAAATTGGGCTGTGTTCCCCCAACCCATGTGGTTACGTGGTACACAAATTTAACTGTTAGTAAACAGAACATGAGTTAAGAATACCGATGGGATCAGGATCAGAATCATCAGATGAACAGAATAAAATTAGGGGTACCCCTCTCAAAAAGAATCTCGGGTCAGGGTCGTCTCAAATGACTCTCAATTATAAATGGCCTGGGTAAACAAGATGGAACAGTCGTCACCGGACTATTAGCTTTTGACTGGTGATGAAGATGGCCCAGCTGGTATTTCTCCCAAAATAGAATGCAAGCACATCTTATTAAAAAAGAAAAAATGCATGGGGATCAAATTATTAAGGTCAGTTATGGAGCTGAATACAGCGATAATACCTGCGCATTCTGTTTGAGGCTTTGAGGGAAGATGTCACCACTGGAATGGTCGAGCTCTTATCTTACTCAAACCTCACGGAGCATAAGTTTTCTGCAATGTTTCAGGATTCGCTCCGCCTTAAAGCCTTGCCAAGGAGGAGATGCTGTTTTATTTCAACATCTGTTTTGGAGTGCGTGCATGGCCCTTACGCCACCAGTCCCCCGCACAGTATTCTGTTGCAAGGAACTTTGTTGCACCTTAAATTTTAATTGACCCTGGCCTTCCCAGCCTGAAAGCTCCGGCCTACCAGATCACAGCACCTCTGATGGACATATAGGCATTCAGTGAAAGTGTGCACCAAGTTATTTTCAAGGGCAATTATTTTAATATTTTTCTTAACTTTCTGGTATTTTCGCCTGACACATCAGATCCTGCCCTACAACCGTTGTTCTTTTCAATTTCTTTTGTTGCTAGAAAAGAGAATTGAAACCACCACTACCTCCGAGCCTGTTTTTGCCGACCCTGATTTTCACTGCACACAGAGTTTTGCCGAGCCTGGGTTCCGTTTTGTTTCTTTTCTGGTACTCTCCTGAAAAAAAAAACGAGAAAAAGCACGGCCAGACTTTCAAAAAACGACCCGCTCGCAGCCACAAAAAAAAAAAGAAAAAAGAAAAAAACAAACACCCCTCTGGACGTGATACCAGGTATCTACCTAGCCCAAAGTCTTTGTGTGAGTATGCCCTCAGCGAGCGCGTTACGGCAAGGGTGTCAGGTCCACGGAAGAAGGAAAAGGCCAAAAAGAAATTGAAACTGAGCTCAGTTAGGCCGGGAAAGCGGAGGGTTCATACATTCTGCAAAGTAATAGTGTGGGCATACCCTCCTCCACAAAGTGTCAGCAGCCCGTGGACCGCACCAAGCCTCCCTGGTGGGGCACCAAAACTAGAAAAAGAAAGAAAACAAGAAACACAAACAATGAAAACCTGAAACTGGCCACTATAGCGGTTAGAAACGGACGTGAGTTTTGGTGCGAGCACAGCTTGGTGCGCGGCCTTCCCCGGCATGATCTTTTGTTTTTCTTTTTGTTTTTTGAAGGGGCCCATAAGGCCCAACTGCCGAGCCTCATCCAACCCCCGAAAAGTTCGGAAAAGATGGGAAAACAGCCATTTTTCCCAAGAGTGACAGAGGTAGTGGTGGTTTGACGCCACCAAAGCTGAAAACTTAAACACAGCAGTGCATCATCACATTGCCCGATAAGTCCCAAGTGCATCACCAAGACGCAGATGGTATTCTTTTCTACGTTTGTGCGGCGTTACAAAAATGTTTCTTGTTTTCTTTCCGATTTTGCGAATTTCACTTTTTGTCTGAGGCAAAAGTTGTTCACAAATGAATGATATCTTCTATTACATATATAGTCTTACATAATGATGCTGTTTTCTTGCCACACCAAACCGTCTGCAGCCTCTTTTATGTCGAAGATCATTCCTCTGGCCCCATGCTGCAAAAGGACAATGTGCCAACACTCGGCGACCTTCTCCTCTGCACAACTACAAACACTGTTACCCTCGGCTGTAGCCGCCATCGTCTCTGTCACAATCACCACAATGACATGGTTTCGGCATCCATGCGTGTGGCAGACTGTCCCTTCGTTCATGACTGCTGACACCCTCCGCATCCAGACACTATTATGTCCATTTTGCAGCCATGGGCGCCGTACTGAATGCAACGGAGTACAACACGCAGTACAACGCCCTTGCAATTAGTACAAACGCACTGAATTTCCGTTACACGAGAGATGCACTGAAAACACGGCAGAACTGCCAGATTGGTATGCAGGGGGCATAGTAAAACTCACTGGTGCCAAAAGCAAGCCGTATCAACACACTTGGTACCCGCCGCTGATCCTCTTGTAAAACTGCAATCGTATGCTGCTGGTTTCCGATTCATAGCTCTCTTCACAAGCTTTTTGCATTTTTCGCACTGCGGGAAAAAATCATCGCACATGAAAACCAGAGACAATGTGCACACGTACAGAGAGCTGCTAAGGTCAGTTCCAGCGCACAACATGACCCATCATCACAACTCCCATCCACATGTTTATATTTGTGACAGAGGTGAGGAAAGGAGACGAGAGAGATCATGAAGGGCAAGTGCAGAGGGAACACAAAAGTCGTACACAAGCATAACACACAAAAACAGGGAAGAGACAAAAGAAAGAAAGATCAGCAGGAACCAAGAACAGGGAAAACCACCAGGAACTGAACCAAGAACCAAACACTCAACCTCCCTGACAGGGATAATGTGGACAGAAGGTGGGAACCGAACCCGCTACCTGATAAGCGATGAGGATAAGCGGCAAACCAGGGAAACAGCACAGTACTATCCTCATCCCCTCACAACTGCCCCCGGAAACCCCATCGAAGGACCTAATCGGCAAATGGGCAAAGAAACATTTGGGATAAACTAGGGGCTTTTCAGGGAGAGAGAGGGTGGGAAGAAAATTCTGCAACTCGAGCAACAGGTGTCGTCGGTCCTAGGTGCCGGGACAATAAAGGTTCTAGAGTCGGAGCACATAAAGTTCAATCGGAAAGGGTGTTTCATAGGAGCTTCAGGCCAAGGGACGGTACAAAGAGGAAGAGCCATTGTGCACTATGCCACCCTCTCAAAGCCTCGACTTCGCTCATCCTACCTTCTTCCCCCGAATACAAGGTACGGTCGTTATAGCTATATTTAGACTGAAAGATACCCCAAATTCAGCTATAATGACCATACGTTATATTCGGCGGAAGACTGTAGCGAAGGCAAGTCAATCCTCATAGTGATCGGCACACCAGGCAATCCCAACAGTAGGGATAGAGAGCGAGAGACTCGGATGGCTTTATAGGAAATCTGGCTAGGAGCCACGGTTAGAAAAGCAGGCAATTTACTTAGTGTGAACCAGGGAACTAGCGAGTGTGAATCAGCGAACTAGTGAAACAGGGGCAGAGAGGCGGTTAAGTCCTTTCCAAATGGAAAGCAATCAATGCAAATGTTTCAGGGTCCCTTGGCCATAATGAAGGGAGGCACTGAGTAGCTTCACTCATGGGCATCCCGCCGTGTTTTGCATGATTGAGTCTATAAGGGACGCTGGGCACGGTTTCCAGCTTACAATGCAATGGATTGGTCTGGAAAACAAAACAAAAAAGGCGATGCAAGAACATGGCATGAAAAAATAATCCTACGGTAATGCTGGCGGGGGCCTGCATTTCGAAAAAAGGAGGCGGCTCACTGCAGCAGTACCCCAATTTAAGAATCATTGTGGCAGTACACCCATGAAGCTCCCTGACATGAGGACCGCCTGGTCAGATGACAACACTAGGCCCACAACAGTGCAAAAAGACGAGCACGCATGCTCAGTTTCACGTGGATTCTGACACCATCGTCATCACAATCATCATCATCATCATCATCATCATCATCATCATCATCATCATCATCATCATTCGTAAAATATAGATCCAGACCCCTGTGCCTTCACAGCACAATGCCACCACAAGATCACCATCATTGTCGTCATGATCATCACTGCTGTCATGATAGGTGTCAGTGTCACTGTTATCATCAATGTAAGCATCCTTTGTCCCGATGCCCTTGTCCTTTACCACGCCACAACCATTCATGCAGCCATGTATCAAGGACCCAAGAACATGCAATATCACCTGCTTCACATTGGCGAATGGATTATTTCTATGAAGAACATCGCAACGCCCCACCCACCCCATCCCCAAGTACACTACATGTCATGTACAAGGCCGTCCACCTCAGTATGCAACGTTGGGATCGACAATCTATGTGGAGAGCACAAAATGGGACCCCCTGCATCTCCCTACCCCTTAAAAAAAAAAAAAAAAACACGAAAGACGCAGGCATACACTAACAAACCTTTCGAAATCACATCAAGGGTTGATCGGAACTTGATCCACCTTGCGCACCTGTATCAGAACACAGAGAACTTGACAGCCCTCAGAAGAATGGACATACCTCCCCCCAACAAAAAAACCATCCTCACAACCACCTGTCCCTTTCCCAGCATTTTTGTTCCCACTCCGCAGCTAACCCACCACGTTCACGGGGATTCAATCCTGCCGGGCCATCAATTCAGTCAATTTTCAATTCCCATCAGCTTAGGGTTCAGTCTAGATAAGAGCTGGGATGGTTGGATTTGGTCGTATGGCATATTATCTTGTACTACTGGGTCAAACTGGCTGGCGTCACCAGGCAAAGAGAAAATAGGCCGCACCTTCGCCAGTTCATTTCTTTTTGGCTCACACCGCCTCACAGCAAATATTAAAGCCAGGGAAAAGAGCTTCAGTCAGACAGATGGTTTTAAGGGCCATGTACCCAGTATGAAACTTAAAACATCGCAGTCATGGAGCTGCTCTCGATTAAAACAGGAAGAGGAGCTTCGTAGATAGCAAAACTCATGGCCTTGAGACCATAGGTTCAAAGTTTGAATCCTATCCCCACCAATACCAGACAGGCTAAACCAAAGGCCTATTTTCACAATCTGCCTTTCGTCAGTTCCCCCATGTTCGTCATGGGCCAGTACAGATACCATGCGCCCACAAAAAGAAGGATAAGTCGAGCCAGTAGAGGCCGCAGAGCAGGAGCAAAGACGATGAAGAAACAGAAGAAAGAAACAAAAGAATTAAGCAGAAGTTAGTGGGGGGAAAAAAAATAAAGGACGTAGGATGGGGCCCCTAACAGAAGAGAAAGGATAAGGCCAAGCGTATCAAAGGTGAAAATGAGGATAGACTCCCCATAAAGTACCCATGATAAATGCAGGAGACAAGGGTTAAATCACAAACAGAAACAGGAAAAGATGGCTTTCCATCGAAGGCAGGGCAACCACAAGCTTGCAAGCAAAGGAAAAGCTCACACAAGGCACATGGAATTGATCCCTCTCCAGAAAAAGGGACCAAGCAAGAGTACCTGCCAATGGTGACGACGATAGTTGTTAACCTCATCCTTGAAGTTATGATAAACCGTCACACTGTAACCTCCCAAAGGTCTCTACCATTTAATACAGACACATCACAAGGACCCAACAGGCCCCTCCCCCTCCCCCCCCCACCCCACACACACCGGGCCCACCCCCCCCCAAAAAAAAAAACAAGCACAAAACAAAAAGACTCAAATTAACGACCTTGCACCCAAACTGGAACAGAACAAATGCAACTGTGCCTTACTTGGCTTCAACTTAGTGAAATTCGGGCTCCATGCCCCCAAAGAGGTTAGGTTACAACCGTTACACTTTGGCAGATGCAGATCGTACAGTCTTCGTTCTCACAAGTGTGACAATATCTTCCGAATTTCCGAAAGCAATTAATGGCATGGCATTCTCATTCAAGCGAAAACAGCACACATTTGTCACCACACCACTTTTTCGGCTGTCAGATGAGGTTCCGAACTTCGGACAGCACATACTGATGCAGGTTTTCTCGGCCAATCCACAACCACCGGCAAATAATCCTCTCCATGGGAGCAAATGCACGCTGTGCATCATGGGGTCCCGAATTTCAGACAACACATACAAATGCACGTCTGCTTGACTGATCCACAACCACCGGAATGTAATCCTCTACATGGGAGCAAATGCAAGCTGCATCCCATGCATTAGCAAGGGTTTCAAGCAACTTCCTGAATAGGAAGGTGGTTAGAGATGTGAAGCCTTAACAAACTGCATAGTGCTCCTCACTTCCATCTTCAACCCCATCCCGTAGAGTCACTGCATCAGTCTTGACTTTTATGGAATTCCCGGTTATCAAATCTCTCTCTCTTCCAGACTCCTCTCTCCTTTGGATGCCAGTGCAGTCATGCTCGTCCATGCAGAGTATGCTAATGCGGCCATGATGTCCAACCTGCTGCTGAACACGCCAACACTGCTGCTACTGCAACCTGCTCGAGCATAGTCCGGTCTCCTGGGCAGTTCAGGTTCACCATCTGAGAATCCATGGCGATGATGTAAATCTGTGACAGAGAGCTACCGTCTTCACCCGAATAGAACGCCCGGTCATTATAGCTGTATTTGGGGCAACTTCCACTCCAGATACACCAATAATTACTGGGCGTTCTATTCGGGTGAAGACGGTAGTGTGAAAGGTTAGCTCTGATGGATTTGCAATCGACAAGTGCAGTTCCTCTAGTTTCCCCGTCCCCAGGATCTTCTGCTACATGCAACTGCTAACAAAACCAACAGTCCATAGTACCAAGGACCCCTGAGAACCGCTAACCCCTCAGTCAATACCACAGTTCCACAGTACCTGGGGTCTCTAGGAACCACTAACACCTCACCCAAAACCAACGGTCCATAATCCCAAGAACCCCTGAGAACCGCTGACCCCTCGATGAATACCGTAGGTCAACACTACCAAAGTTCCCGGGGAACCACTAACCCTCAGTCAGAACCAGAGGTTCGCAATCGCAAGGGCCCCTGAGAACTGCTGACCCCTCAAATACCGAGGATTCTCAACCACTAACTCACTGTTGATGCTCTGTTTGTACTCTAGCCTGCAGATCTGGTCCCTCATTCACCGTAGAGAAGGATATCTGTCCAGAGCAAAGCGCAACAGTCAAAACGCGGTCAGAACCAGAGGTTCGCAATCGCAAGGGCCCCTGAGAACTGCTGGCCCCTCAATACCGAGGATTCTCAACCACTAACTCACTGTTGATGCTCTGTTTGTACTCTAGCCTGCAGATCTGATCCCTCATTCACCGTAGAGAAGGCTATCTGTCCAGAGCAAAGCACGACAGTCAAAACACAGACCTCCTTCCAGCTCATCTTCGAAGTTCCATCAAACTGTCCCCGGAGCCTTTCCAGCTGTTTTATTCAGCCAGGCGGACGTCTCCGCCAATGGATCTGGCGAACATTTTCAGAGCCTTTTTCTTCCTCCAGCTGGATCTCATCACAGCTTCACACAAATCCACACACCGTTGCTTTTTGTTTTGCCAGTTGGTTGGAACGCTATCCCCAGGCAGAGGGGAATGGGTTAAATCTCTGGATCTCATGCAACCAAGTAGTCTACATGTACCAACTCCATCAAAGAGAAAGCGATGCATTTCTGAAGGACAGAAGCGACTCGCAAGAAGTCGCCAAAATTGCATGCACCTTTGCTGCTTTTTGCAGCCTTGTGTGCGTGTGTGTGTGTGTCTGTGTTATGAAATTTCACCACAATATCACCTGTTCCACCCAGATGGGTAGATCCAAAGTCACAGCAACTTTACCTCTATTGCGGACAATGAAGCATGCTTAACATGAGCCAATCCATCAGTGAAACAGTTCTGCCTGTAAAGCCAGCAGCATGAAGCACAATATCTATCCAAAATCACAGGAATCTTACCTTTATACAATCATGGAATCTCATCTTTAGACAAGCAATGCAACACACTTGAGATGAGCCAACCCAACAATGAAACCAATACGAAACACAATAAATCCATTTTTTCACTTTCATGATTATGTTTACATCAACTATCATTGGGAGGCCTCCCATTTTATTTGTTTTTGCAGCTCCCCTCTTACACTGCATCTCACGTACAAGGCTGGCCACGTTGATGATGGTTGAGCGCCAGCTGCCCACATCCCCGTGTGCCTGTACGGCCCACTTGCATGTTATAAAAGGAGACAGACTAAAAGGGATAACTTATATTTTGTCTGTTCTCTTAATGAGGGGTAAACTAAAAGAGCGCACTTTGCGAAACAAAGAATAAAAACAAAAAACGGGCACATTGCAAAAAGAAAAACAAAAAGAAAAAGAAAAAGCAAGGGCAGATTGAAACCATTAAATTTCTCATTCTTCTTTGAACTCCACCTCCACTGTGCCTCTCACGTGCAAGGCTCGCCACGTTGATGAAGTTGAGCGCGAGCTGCCCCCATCCCCGTATGCCATAACAGCCCACTTGCACGCTGTGAGAGAGGCAAGAGTGAAGGGGAAGGTGTTAAACACAGGGAAAAGAGACAGAGAGAGGACAAACAAAGAATGGAAGAGGGAAAATACGGAGTGTAGAATGAGAAAGCTCAAGAATGAGGCTGTCCTTGACGACAGAAAGGACACACATTGTAAGGATGGGTTGGATGAGCGCATGGAAGACCTAACTGAGCATTCTCAAAACAACAACTGCCACGACGGCTGGCATTAAGCATGCCAACCATACATTCCT